AGTCACCAGCTCCATACGACACAAGAAAGATATTCAACCCTGAAAGCGATTTCTTTCTTGAAGTCAATTCGTGTTTACATCCATGGAAATTGTGTACAACAGAGCAGCTATTATGGTATTTCAGGCTTGCTATAAATTGCAAGCCATTATGCTGATGTGTTGCCAGAGTTTCTCAAGCTTACCTTGTAGCTATAAGCCAGCAAGCTAGTCTTAATTTTATTTCTTTAATTGTTCTCCACGCACAGGCACAAGTCTCTGGGAAAACATACAGCTAACCTATTCTAATATGCATTTTGCATTGGTTTTGGTCAACTCGTTTTAGTTAACAGAGATGAAGCCAATCAAGACGTAAGAGGGAAGTCTCCTGATCTCAGAACAAAGAACCACCCACTGCACAGAAATGCCAGCCTGCCCCTCGTCCCGAGACTCGGTGGGAACATCACACAGTACTTTTTGTTTGGAGAAACAGGAATCATTATTAAGCTCTTCCAACTTGCAAAACTAAGGAAAAACCTACCTACGGGATCTGCAGACCTACTACTCTGTAGTGAAAAAACAAACTTTTAACAAGAAGTTTAAAAATAATAGAAGCACACAGAGCATACCAGATTTGCATACATACAAGCTATTTAACAGCAACTGGGTACCAAAGAGTTGATTAGTAAACTGATTAGTAATTCCATCATTCTGGTTTCCTGAAGACTTAGTGATTACTCCTGTAAGCAATGCATATGGTTTAAAACTACCCAGTGGCTCAGATGACCCCACATGTCTGGTATTTAGTCTAAGAACATAGCAAATTCTCCAGAGCAGAGCTAAAAATACCCTCCTCCAAAACGCCCATGCTTACTGGGTCTGTCATGGCAAACTACAGACACTGGTCCCCTTTACAGGCTTCAACTAGTCAAAAAATTTAAAATACTGAGTGGTTTGGCCTTCAACCCAAATCACAAAATGCCACTCCAGTATGTTTCTTACTGTCCCTTTCCTTCATCCTACTCTGTCTGGCGGAGAGCAGAAGTACGATTTACTGTAATTTGGAGAGCATAAACAGTATACACAGAAGCTACATTTTCTTCTCAAGAATCTGAGCATTTTAACAACATTTGGACTATGAGATTTCCTAATTTGCCAGTTAAGGGTCATTAATTTATGACCTACCGCATCCTTACCCTAGCAACAAATAAGTGCACTTGCTTGTTAGCTCTCTGTTATTGTGGAGGGCTGTTCTGGACAGAAAGCATAGTTTGAGGGTCCTTCCGTTCCAGCAGCCAGCGCAGCAGCAGAGCACACGCTGGGTGCTGCGGGGCTGGAACACCACAACGGAAAGCTCCTTCTGCCGACAGTCCCGCAAAACCTTCCATGCATTTCCAAAATGCATCAAAAGTCAAGGAGGGCAAACCCACCACAACTACTAGCCACTGATATAACGTTCTAGTCTCTTTAGTATTCACCCTTGCCCTTCAAGAGAAACTAAAGACTAAACCAAGCTTATGCAGAATACTACTGATGCATGTGGTGAATGATCGAAGTAGAAGAGCCACGCTGGCAAAAGCAGATGTTACAGGGTAAATAAAGCAAGAATTATCAGACTAAGATGAACAAAGAGAGAGAGACTGAGATGTAGCAAGGAAACTGGAGGAAGTAGGACAACCTGGGCCAGTAAAAAGCTAAAAGGTGGGAGCAATGCATAATGTTTCAACAACTGGGGAAGTCTCAACAAGGCAAGTGGCAAATGCGCCCATGTTCAAAAAGGTCTAACTAGCAAGATAAAAACCCCAAGGCTCCCCTTTTGTCATATACATGAGAAACTGGTGGGGTTCAAGTCAAAGGAAAAAGGAAGTCCCATCTGTTTTCTGGCTACGGTCATGTTTAAAGATGTATACAGATAATGGTCTCAAAACCGCCTCTTTACCTTAAATAGATCAACATAGCCTACGCCCACTAAATATATTATGCAGGCTTTTGTGGCAAGTGCAAGTGGGACCCGCGGGCCCGATTCTCACGCCACGACCACAGGCCGCGCAGCGCTCTAAGAGGGGAGACCGAACGAAGCCTGGCTGCGCTCCCACTCCTTTACTCAAATGCCTGTTTCCAGGGGCAAGCCTTAGCAGTTTGCTTCCCACAGGGAAACGTAGCAATCGCATCCCCTTTCGCCGTTCTGCTTTCCAGATAAGGAGTTCCTTTTTACATCAGCTTTCTTTAGAAGACGACAGATACTGGAAGTGCCTACAGACGGCAGCAACGGTTTGGCTGAACTTATTTAGAATCACCCTTGGGGGAGAAAAACTGCCAGAGGAGGTGTCTGCAGCACCACATTACCCAAGTGCCAAAAAACACACTGACTGCCATTTTATTTCACCACAATTTCCTGGAGATCCCTGAAAGCCATCTGATTAAATGAAGAGAAAAATCCAAATTGCAGCACAGCCAAAGTACCTCCATCTGTTCCAGTCACCATTGCCATCATCCACTTGAGAGGAAAGTGAGCTTTATGGCTTTTAGTCTATTAGGAAGGTAACTGCTTTAGCAAGTCTGAGACTAACACACATCAGTACACTCTTTCAGAAGGTGGTTTGATATTTAGCTGATTCATCCAAAAGCAGGCTTTTACTTGCAATTTATGTAAGCTAGTTTGCCAAAACTCTTGACAGATACTGATGGACAATTATTAACCAGGCGTGTCACCCGATACAGATCCGACAGGCATTTACAGGAAGGCAGCCCGGCAGGGTGGAGAGCCGGTAAGTCTGTGGGGGGAAGGGGCAGATGAAGGCTCCCGCAGTGAGGGAGGGAGTGGGGCAGGGGCAGGCGCTGCCCAGCCAGGGTGCTGAATGCAATCCTGGGGCCAGAAGTGGGGAGGACCCAATATGCAACCAATACATCAGTGCCTCTCTAGTTTTTACTGGGAAACATTTCATTTGCAACTGTGTGCGCACTTGAGGGAACCAGGCAAAACGTCTCTGGAATACATTTTATGGTCCTCTAAACTTTGCATTTGAGGTCTGCGGTCTACTTGAAGAGCATTTTCCTTGCAAAACTGACAATACAGAACTTTCTGGAAGGTTCCAAGCTAAGTCATGAAGCTAAGGCCTCCCTGAACCTGGTCCTATTCAAGTTTAAACAAGACTATTGCAAAAGTTAGAATAAACGGTCCAAACTGGATCAGTTCTGCATATCCTGGGAGCTTATTCCATAACATACTTACATATATGTCAACATTTTTTAACCACATCTCAGTCTTATTATTTTTCCTAGCAACTGTCCATACTAGAAAGTAGTGCTAACTATTATTAATCTTTGCAATATAAAATTAAGATGTTTTATTAAAAGGAAAAAGCTGCAGGGTAGTTACCTCGAACAGGGCATAACCTCACTTCCCCATTTCCCTCTACCACCTGCCCAGAGCACTTCTCTGCCACGTGCTGCAGATTCCCTAAATGGTCTCATAGACCATGAGTGTTGGAAGGGACTCAGCAGGTCACCCACGATTAACCTAAGACTGCCTTTCTATTAAGGACTACACACAACGTACTTAACATTTCAATTGCCATCAGCATCTCAATTTGGTATATTTAATGCCTCAGATGTTTGAGATGGTAACTGCAAGGAGCATTTAAAATAAGAACACCTCTGTGAACTACAGTCATAGCCCATTTTCTCAAAGTTTGGATATTGTGAACAAAAGATTACATGCTTCAACACACTCATAAATTCACCAGAAGTGAAGCTACTAGCCTGGTCTATACACAACATAGAGAAACAAGATCTGTTGAGGAAAAGAAGTTTACTTTCAAGCCTCCCAACAGACTTTCTAGGAGCATGCAAGTTTTAGAACATTCTGTAGTCACCGTTAAATACAATAACGGCATCCACCTTTTTAATGTTATATGCAACGTGATTGCCTTGAACTCTAGGAAAAGGTCAGACTTTGAACAGACGCCTCGTAACCGAGTGTCAGGTCACTAAAAAGGGGAAGCTCTAATTCAACCTCTAAAGGCTCCTACCAAACGAAAGTTAGGTTGATCTCATTAACCTTCACACTACCTTTCACACACGCAAGCAACTTCAGAAGGACTTGAAAACACAATATAAACATGAAATAAGATATTCCCCAATGATTAGGCATGCTCCCAAAGTGCTCTGTGCCACAATCCTCAGAAACACTGATTTTCAAAGGAAATCTCTCTTACTGCATCATTTTGTTACATGAATAATTCAGTGATTCACTATAGTTAAGTATAAAATTATTGACTCAGAGACAAGCAGTTATGGCTGCTAACAGTTTAGTTCGGAAGAGTATCTTCAAGTTTTCACTGCACTCTTCTATTAAGACCAGGCTTGACTTAACCATTCAGTAGTTATTAAAAATATAACATTCAACATTACGGGCACAACCCCACTTAGAAATCTGGCATGTATAATTCTCCACTGCGTCAGCTCCAGCTGCAATGCACTGACTGCGTCTAAGTGTGCAGCAGACTGTGCAGATGTTACTCCGCAGTCATTTAGTGCTTGCATAAATACTGTCACCACACAGTTTTTTCCCCAATGCTACTGCACAGTAGTGCCGTGCCATGGTTAGTGCCTGGCAATGCTACCGCACGGTAGCAACATGATACGGCGCAGTCGCTCGTTCTTACTGCACTGTAGGGTCACGTCTGGACATGCCCACTGAGTGCAATAATGCATACAGGCATATTTATTAGAATTTTATTATCCAAAACTTACTATAAAGATCTAAGAGATGTCTGTATTGTAGCCTTCGCTACTCCCAACACTATCTGCAGTAGGTGAGCATTATAGCCCCCCAATTTTCTATCTAAATAATACGGACACTATTCACTTAAGAGTTACAGGTGTCTTGCTGACTTCCTTCAGCACATATAACCCGTCTTAACTTTTTCTTTTCTTTTATTTTCATGAGGGCTTCATTTCCTTCTTTTCTGGTTTCAAGTTGATGTGTAGGAACTTACAAAAAAACCCATAAACTTGACCACTTGTGCTCAGCTCTGCAAGACATTCTGAGATACAATTGTACTGCCTTTTTCTTTTTTTTTTTTTACATTTGTTAAAAAAAAAAATGCAGGATTCTATGGAAATTCAGTCAAGGAACAAGCTTATTTTGAATTAGTATACGGCTGACAAAGACCTTAGACCGGGTGAAGTTTCTTTGGGAATGTCAGTCAGGACCTCATTAATGTGGACAGCACATGTCGAAATATTAACTCTATAAGAAGACTTAGTTAGAAGGCTCCCAAGTTAAGGTTTTAATCTTTAGTTGTATGTCTAGCGAGCAGAAATGCTTCTTTAGTAAGTGCCTTCCTGGACTGCTCAAACGACGGCTGAAGAAAACGCACAGGGGTTACTGCATGTGTCACTAGCTTCACCAGAGAGCACCCGCCTAAAGATCCCAATTTTTAAAGAAAACTTAAGGTAGCGGTTATCTTTGACTGCAGTACAATTACACCTACAGCTGCTGTATTTGTAGTACTGACATTTCTCTTTTGGTTTATAGTCACAACAGTATGATTTCAGGCCCTTTATCCGATTTAACTCTGCTGTCTCATACCCTATAAACTAGTGTCTGAAACAGTTAACTGTTCTATCAAAGGCAGGCAGATCAGCTGATGGAACAGTGCTTTCCACAGTGACCCCTTCCTGTTTTCTGTTCAAAACTGCAAACTTAAGCTCCAGCTATTAACAAACCTCAAATGATTCTACTTCTGCTTTCAAGTAGCAGAAAGCAAGGGGAAACACTTGCACGTACTCCCTGTTCTGTAAAGATTTTCCAAAGTCGCATAGGTACTTTTTTGGAAAGTTCTCATAGCATTTCCCCAGTATCACAACAACAAATGATACCGAACTAGAAATGTTTGAAAAGCATTCCTAAATACTGTGTTTGAACAGAATCCCTTCAAGTTTCAGGTTTAGAGTTTCTCCTGCTCTTAGTCATGCATTGTTACTGGTTTCTCCTCCCAATCCAGAGAGTTAAAAAAGTGGGGGGGGAGAAACTGAAATATTATGCAGGAACCATTTGTGTTGGTCTTTTTGTTAGCCAATACAGGTCGAGACCAAATTTTACGCCTTTATTCCTGTGGCTGAAGTTTTGCCTTCCACTGGAAATTTCACAGTACTTGAACCGAACTGAATCAAACTCCCCTTCCAAACACAGTGGTCTTCTCCCTGAAGCACATATTCATGGCTGAGAACTAACCCCTCCTCCTCAAAGGGGGGGTCATAATAGGAATACTCAAAGACACCCTTACCATGCAAAGGGCACTATTACGCTAAGCAATTACTATTTCAATAGAGACCTATTTATTGGTGAAAACAGTCCCTGTTTGCCTTATTCAGTGCAACCACATAACTGGTTTTTCATGACCCTTGCCTCAAACACCACCAGTATTCTAAGACAACACACCCAAATGATTCTTCTGGCCTAAAGTGTTGATTTCTGGCAAAAAAAGGTAAGACCAATTAAAAACTGACATCTTTGAAGCCAAAAAGATAAGACTACAAAGGCAAAAACAGAGACTAATTTCAAAAGGAACTAAATAATCTGCCCTGTTTACACAGAAACTCAGTTACAAGGAAGGATGGGAAATTAAGGAACACACTATTGAGAAGCAGTCTTCAAAGCAGCAATTCAATCCCCAAAATGTATCTTCCGAGACAACACTAAGAATGTACTCAAAATCCTCCCCCAGGAGTGGTACATATATCATAAAGCAATTACTTGGAAATTCCATTTATTTTAACAAAAGGAGGCGGGGGGGGAACCACAGCCTAAGTTTACCTCCAGAACTGGTCCAGCTCCCAAAATAGTTCTCTCCACACCGCTTGCGTACCCTTTCTGACTCAGTGCTGTGAGGCAGTGAATTAAAAAGTTTGTACTTTGAGTTTTTCCAGATCCACTTTCACCTGATATAACTATGCACTGGTTGACTTGTTTTTTAAGCATTGTGTGATAAGCCACGTCAGCTATTGCAAAGATATGGGGCTCCAACTTCCCAAGCTGGTGATTCTCATACATCTTGACATATTTTGGGTTATAAATGGGCAAAAATTTGAAGGGGTTAATGGCAATCAGAATACTTCCTGCATAAGTATAAATCTTTTGTTTCAAAAAGCGGCATTTGAGATTCTCTAGGAGCGTGGTCTCTGTTAAATTGGGAAGGTTACACAAGTCATCAAAGTCTTCCTGATGCCATGGAAGAAAACCTCTTTCAACCAACCGTCGAGCCTCCTTCGCCTTGGACACCAGTTGCATGTGGACATATTTGATGGTCCCATCGGTGTTCCTTTCTTGCAAAAGGAAGTAGTAACCATCCTTTTGAGGATGCTCATCCTGAGCACGGCGGGGCCAAAGCAAAACCCTTTGAACAGGAGAGTCATTTATGTCAAGTACCCATTCTTCACCACCCGATTCTTTCACTTCCACAAGCACATAATGCTTTGAGACATCCAAGTTCAAAGTATTTATCGCATCCTTGATGACATCCGAAGCACTGCTGTCCTTGGTTGCAGTCACTCTACAGCAGGGAGCACTTTCTATCGAGAGCTGAGGGTAAATTTGAAGATGATAGGCCACCTTCTCCTGGCAAACTGCACTGCCAGCATCTTTTAAACTCATTCTGCCACAAACCCAGCTTCAGCATGCCTCCCCAGCTTACTGCACAGTACCCATTATCTGAAAAAGAAGAGCAAAGAGTCAGGTATTATATTCTGCACAGCAGGCTTCCCTGAAATGCAAACGCAAATGAAGGAAGAAAAACACAAAATGAAGTTACGCAGGCATGTCATGAAAAACAAGCTATTTTCTGAGGTTATTTCAAACTTATTGGAGAGGTCTGCTTAAAAATAAGAGTTGGGGGCAGGAGCTAAGGGGAGAGAACTTGTGCACTTGAGTTCATTAAGCTATCCTTGCCAGCTGACATTTTCTCAGATTGTTCTCACATTGCATATGGACAAGAAAAGAGCTGCTGTTTTCGAATAATATGCAAAAACTTTGCACAAGAGAGTACGACACCCTTAGGAGCCATTTTCATTACAATCAACAACCATGTCTTGCTTTTAACATTTTTTTAATATGACAGTAGAACTAGTCTCATTGTAGCATTTTTCAGTTCAGATTTTACAACTAACTTGCACAGAATTCACCAATTACATCATTTACCTCATACTCCCCCACCCCTTCTCTCTCCTCCCATTATTCTCATGCCTGAAGCTGGAGCCTCGTGTTTTTTGGTGACATCTCTTATTGAATAGTTGGGAGAGACGACAGACAAGCTTTCAGGCACAAAGTCCCTTCTTCAGGTGACAAACATCCCTTCTAATTATTCAGGTGCGCCAATAAAAGATCCTACCAAAAAACCTAAACAACCCCCCCAAACCCTTTCTTCTTACCTATTTCCTGGACCATGATGGCTACAACATGACTCTAACCCTACTGAGCTCACGTCATCAATCTCAAGCATCTCAAATGCATCATGCAGCCTCGTGGTCTAACTTCTGGTCTCTCCATACCCATAAATAGCCTACAAGTCAGCCCTCTCCTTGTTGTATCAACATCTCCGAGTCCTTGGTCTGCACTTTTCTCACCTGCATGGCACTATGAATCTCCGTCCTTTGCTGGACCATGCTACTCTACCTTTCAGTTGCCATCTGATTAGGTGTCAGGGTTAATCATGCTAACAGGACCAAAACTTTGACTGTGGTGTAGTGACCCTTTACCAACATACAGTTTGGGAGACAGATAACGAGACACCAACTCTACGCATTTCTTTTAAGGTACTCCATAAAATATAAAAATATAAACAAGGTCTGAAGAACAAGTCATTGCAATATAAGAAGTTCACAAGTTGAAACAAAGTGGAGTGCGAGAAAGCCCATTTGAGTTACAAGTTACAATGCAGTCATCTTCAACAGCAAACAGTTATTAGGCCAACGAGCTTCAATGAAGAGCTTTTTAAATTGAGATCAGTGGAGAGCTGGAAACACTGAACTGGCATTTCTACTGCAGACAGGCAGATGAATCATTTAAAAGAAAAAAAAAAGAAGCACATGACATGGTTCTGCCATTCCTGAATGAAGCCAGGAATGGAGAACTTGACTTCCAAGCAATTCTGTGTAAAAACCACTCTTGAATCATTTCTGTTATGCAAGTTAAATTGTTTTCAAAGTCTGCTCATCAAAAGGGCAGCAGAGTATGCCACAGACAGTGGGGTATACCAGGGCATACATCTGTGGTTAATACATATAAATCTATTGCAGCATGACTTCCTGCTCTGCTTAAGTATATTGCTCACCCCCAGGAAGCTCACTGCAAACCGTGATGTGCAGGGGGACTGACTACAAGTACCTTCCAGCCCTTACGAGCAGTGACAAGTACCTTCCAGCAGTTCTGGCTTGGAGGTGGGGGGAGAGAGACTCATCAAAAAGTTGAAAGGATCCAGGCAAGTGTTAAGCACTGCTGATGTCTTGTCTCTCAGAACAGTATGATGATCAGTCTCTGCACCAGAAATCTCACTTGACACTGAAGTGGCCGCCCATACAAAGAGGTTCAGAATTTGTTCTTCACGGTGTTGTCACACAAACGCCATCAGAATATATTAGTATTTGTTTAGAACCATGCTTTTAACAAAAGAACATTTTAATTTAATCTGTTGAAAGAGAAATTAAGGAACATTTCTGAAACAACCACAATGGAGAAATAACAATTCTGACTAGCTGAATTCTGTCTGAAAAACAGCACAGGAAATGCTATTTTTGAGATGATAACTAAGCTTGTACTAAAGTTCCTTTTTTGATGCCAGACATTCAGACCCAAACCTCAAAAAACAACACGCATGCTTGCCAGTGGCACACAAAGGCTTTCCCTGGAGAACGCAAACAAAGACAAAATTTCTGCAAAATTCAACCAAGTTTTTAGCTTTTGGCTCACAACAGATGCAATTTCAAGTCCCCCAACAACCCCAGGGTATCAGCTGCCTATTAATTAATATTTGCAGAGGGACAGCTACATGACTGCTCCTTTCACTGCTACTACCCAGAAAAGCTGTGAACAGCAGGGGCGAGCACTGGAGTTATTCGTGGGCAATACAGTCCTAAAGAAAGACTAGGGGAAACAGGAAAATGGGCGTTGCCACTTTTTCTTTTTCACAGTTAAATAGCTCCAAAAGAAAGCACAGAATGACTGAAAATGTATAAATGTCCTCCTCTTTCAGCAGCTTATTTCAGATGCTTAATAGTCAGAGACTTGTATGAAATATAGCCCTCCAAAGTAGCAATACCCTGGTAAAAATCTCAGCCATTTGATCCTTCCCAGCAGGCAGAGATAGCTTGAAGCCGAGTCTCTCAGTACTATCCTTTCCATGAACACTTTTGACAGAGCCTTCCTAGCCTCCTCTTCTGTACTGGCTAGTAGGCGTCTTGAACTTTTTTTCAAGGCTCATCCATCACCTTTTTCAACCCCAACTTCTTGGATAACTGCCAGAGGAAATTAAGCAAAGGTGGTCTCAGATCTTTTCCTGGAAGACAGAGGCCCTTTATAAACATGGCGATATGACTTGTTTTAGATGTAGCTGGTGGTCTGTTCAGGAAAGACTCAAGACTGAGAAAGAGGAAAGGAAATACCTCTTACTCTGGGGGGACAGAGCAGTGACAAGGCAATGTGCACACTGTAGACACTAACATAGAAGTGTTTTGCAGGCTCCTACTTAAATAGCAGTACAGATGCACCTTCTTGTCTCTCTCCTAGAACATGCTTAGAAGAGGCGATCTTCAGCGACAAGATCTTGCAGCAACACGATTACTACACACATTCATGGGGGCGGGGAATAGGAAGATACTGTAATGGTTGCTTCACTCCAACCAAATATGAAATCCATATGAGCATTTTATTTTCTTTCATCACCACTGAATTTTTAGAGGCCTTTTTCCTCCTAGTGACAGCTGGTTCATGTTATTATTTACAGTTAATAATATTACAGTTTACATTAATATAAAGCACTAAGATTCTCAAGGAATGCTAATGTTCAATTTCTACTGAACTTCACAAAAGTGATTCACCTTTGAACTGCTCCAGGATTCTCAAGATTTGAATTTGCCTGCCAGTGATCAAAAATACTGAAACAAAAAAAGTTAAAATGTTTTAAGTCTGAAATTCAATGTTGCAAAGATCCACTTCAATTTTAGAGATTACGGCGAACCTTGAAGGGTCTGAAAGTCAGGGACTTTAAAGTATATCAACTGCTAGACTTAACTACTTTGCCAGCTTCTCTTTGCAACAGCTGGTGGGGGCTCATGAAGTTTTCAAGAGCCACAAAACAAGCATATTTATTTCTGCTTTGGAAAAACTATTTGCCATCAACACAAATGCCTATGAACCATCAACCTGTTCACAAAACAGACTGCAGCAGCAGGGCAGAATGGCAGACTAATTTAGGTGTATAAACCCGACAGCGGTGACGTACAGTAAATGCACTTATTTAAAAACACTAGATGTACACAAATAGAAAAAGGGTAAGATGAAAATAGTGAATATAGATTAAAAGACAGGATTTATAATAAATGTAAATAGTGAGCACAATGCTCATAGATATTTTGTGTCATTTAAGTTAAGGACTATAAACTACACTTAAGTGCATCAGAAACAAAAAGAAAGCCTACAATGATATTTGTCCAATACTCTGGAAAAGGCAGACTTGTCAATAAGATAGAAAAGGAAGACGTGTTTAATAAATATTTGTCCACGTTGGAGAAAAAGTCAAGTGAGGTAGTTTTATCAAAGGATGATAATTAGACTCCCCATTCAAAGAGTAATTCAGACAGATTTAGTTTAGAGAAGAGAAAACTGAGGAGGACTTGATAACAGCCTTCAAATGCAGAAGAGGGGGTTGTAAGGAAGACGACGCGAGATTGCTCTTGGTCACCACAGGGGGCAGGACAAGTAGTAATGGTCTTAAGCTGCAACAAGGGAAATTTAGGGCAGTATGGAAGGAAGTATTTTCTACCTATGAGGATGGTTAAACATTGGAGCAGGTTATTTAGAGACATCAAGGAATCTCCATCTTTTGAAGTTCGTAAGAACAGGTTAGACAAATGCCTAGCTGGGATGGTTAAGATAAGGACGACCTGGCTTTGGACAGGGGCTGGATTGAGTGACCTCCCTTCCAGGTTATTTTTCTAGGATTCTAGTGCAGGAAAATAAGAGAAAGTTAATGAAAATTACAGGTCCCTTTTAAAAAAACCCAGCAATTTAGAACAAGGACAGAAAACGGATATCAACCAAACCTCAATCTAAAATCCCGTCCCCCCCCCTCCCTTTCAGTTCATTTTTCCTTTCTTATTTATAATACACAGAAAATGAGTATGGTATTTATTGGCAGCACTAGTACAATCCATCTGTGAAAACAAATATGTTTTTATTTTATTTTATTTATATCCTTCCTTTTCTAAAAGAAAAGCTCAGGGCAGCTTACAAAAGAGGACAGAATAACTTACGAAGCATGAGACTGGACAAGAGAACAAAACAATTTAAAAGAGAAACTGGTATAACATAAAACAGATACCCCCCCAACCATGCCCTGGCCTGCCTTTGTTGCTACATGCCTTTAGTATCAACTAAATTGATATTCCTTTTAGGTTAAGCACATGCCAATCCTTCAAGCCTAGATGTACTCCAGATTTCCCAAACAACGATCATTATTACTGCCCAATTTACTTCATCACAGGAGTATATAGGACAGTTCCATTATCATTATTTGGGAAATCTGAAGTAGCTGCCACTTAAACCACTGGAGAGGGCAAGCACTCTAGACACTGGTTTACTGTCTTTTAGGAGAAAAGCAACATCTTTTAACCTTAGCAAGCAATTAGCTCAAATTTTAAATTCCTCTTTTTAGAGACAAGACAGAGAAGAACACTTCAGAATAGGGTCACTATGATCATGAGAATTTCCCTGGTTCTGTTGACAGCTTTAAACTATTTTCAAGCCTCAATTATACCAACATTTTTAAGTGCATAAAAAGCATATTCTGAATATGACAATCTGGTAAAGTATTGGAAAAAACAGTGCGCCAATCAGGCCAAGGTAGCAGTTTAGTTTAAATAAGGCCATAATTTGAAACTGAATGTTTCTCCACTGAATCATACCAAAGCTAAAAAGGGAAAGCTGCTATTATACCAAAATTATTCAGAAAGAATGGTTTATGTTTCAGTTCTTTCCACTTTCATGCTGCAGTTTCAAAAATTCAGGATTCTTTTTAGGTAGTGGTTTTGTCAAGTTCTTCTCAGCGTTCAAGCTAAAATGATGCACTAAATACCCAGTTCCCCAGTGAAATAAAAATCAGCTGTACACAATTCAAAACATAAGCACCAGTTGGTTGTGGCTTTAAGTGATTAAAGCATCTGATTTCAAGCATTTGTTCATTTCAGAAACATTCAGCTTTTGACTACTGTGAACGTATCATTCCCTAAATCAAAGAAAATAAATTCCCCTTCCAGCCAACAGGATATTCGGGAGATGCCTCAGCAGCTCAAGGGATGCAAAAATTTTTACAGTCAGTGCAAGAATTAAATCCTTAAGACTCTATTCAGGTGCAAACTGCTTATAATTCTTAATTACTTCTTTTGCGTATTTTCTTTGCAAAGCTATATGATTTTTTGGTTACGATAACTTTTAGTTTCTCACATCAGCTAAACCCAAATAAAACACCAACACATGGTAGCTTTGTAAGAGCCATATAATAGCTCCAAGTTATTGCTGCTTTTCTCAACTGCTGTAACCGGGGAAGTCAATAGAGAAAGCACTTCTGCCATAGACTTCCTAGAACAGATGATGGAATCCAGTATTGCCAGCTACCAGGGAAAGAGCACGTCAGCATGGTTATAACCTCACGTTATACCTTTCACATCAGCTTCATTGCCACGTGAACTACCCCTCTGCTCTTTACTGCCTCTCGCATCCACTTTGCCCACCTCCCAAAATCCGCAGTAATCACCTGGCGTGCAAACATCCATTTCCTCTGAGACACTCTGATGCATATCTTAGCTGTGACCTCAGGAAGTCTGAGATCCCTTATCCAGCAAAACTTTACTTTAAAAGCCTATAAAGTATTACCTAAAGAAAGGTAATGCCAGCCATAACAATAAGCATTTACAAGTTATTCAAAGGAACTGAATGCATGTATTTGTATGTTGGAAGTGAAAGACAGCAAGTAGTAATTACAAGTATATTCAGGTATTAGGAAGACAGTGAGACAAAGTGTGTAAATCAAAGGTATCCTGTACATTAATGTTGCCTTCTGTAGCGACTTTACTACAGTGCTGCTAAAGTTAAGAACGTCTGTAGGCCCTAACACAGACAGAGGCCTCACTAAGCTGGATGCTGCAATTACACTGATAAGAAACTCACTGGGGGAACCTTATCTCCAAGTTGTGCGGGCGGGTTTAAAAAAAACAAAAACCGAGTCAGCCATACAGAACCAAGGCATATCTGAAACAGCTTTAGAAACGCCATGCTGATAAAGACGATTGCTCTTTGGAGCACGGACTATCATCTCTCTCAAGGTCTGCATCACATTACCAATCAAAGCTCAACCTTAACATACAGTAACAGTAGGACACAGGTTACCCCATGTCTATGTGCTCGACCGTGCACAAAAAGTTACTGACATCTCCAGTTAGTCAGATGCACGGCCTCCCCCAGAGCTACAAGTATAACTGTTGGATAAGACAACGGTCTTAATGGTAGGTTGCTTACACTACGTGCGCAGTGAACAGTATGCTGTTAAATATAGGAATAGCGTAAAAACATTATTTTGGGAGAAAACACGCAACATAAAACCCACAAAACTATTTTTCAGGATCATGGGTAAATTACGGACAGAAATTAAATGTCAAGCTAAAAATAGTTCAGCCAAAATCTGTTCAGAAACTTAAATTTACCATCTTCAGAAATCTGGATATATACAGTATGTGTCTATTTTGTACAGCAGTGAAGAGAATATTTAGAGAGGCCACATTTTAGTAATCTATACCTCATGTCAAGTAGAGAAAATGCTAGTTTTTGTTGTAAATATTGACGAGACAGGCTCAACATGAAGGGGAAAAAAAGTAAAACTTCCAGAAGTCTCTCACTGAGGACACTTTATGTTGTTGTTAATGAAGTTCATTTAGCAGCTCAGCAATTTAGCAGGGTCTCTAATGTGCATTTAAAATGGAAACATTTTTACATCCTGACATTCACAAAATTGGTATAAAGCCTTAAATGTTTTAGTATAAAATGATCAGTTAAAATAATCAGGCGTTTAGACAATGAACACTAGTCCACCTTTAGAGACTTTTCTTTGAAAACTCTTAAAGTACGAGAACCATTTATCCTTCCAACTGAGAAGAGGCCCCACGCACAGGTAAGCTGGGCAGACTTCGGTTGGGAACCTAGGGGCCAGTCTATCCTTGAATCACTGGACGTCAGACACCTCCGTCTGTACAAAGCTGTCATCACCAGACGTGTCTAATTTACACTTTCCATCAGCTGCATTTACTACTTGTAAATTATTCAGTCTTACAACGTGCCCCGGCACAACTGGAACAGAGAGCCCACGAAGTGTCCCTGCTCCCAAGCAGGCCGCGCTGCACGCACAGCAGCACCGCTTGGGCGGGCCCAAGCGCTGTGGAACAAGGCAGCTCCTGCCAGCCCAGCGGGGAGGCAGGCTCAGGCGCGCGGAGGGGTGCCAAGCAGAGCGTGGGGCGCCGCGCCGTGCCACGCCACACCACACCGCACACGGGGCTGCGGGACCTGGGCACCAAACAGAAAATCAAAGCGTTCCCTGCTGGGGGGAGGAGGAGAGGAGAGAAGGGAAGGGAAGGGAAGGGAAGGTGGAGGTGAGGAAGAGGCAGGGCAGGCGTTGGGAAAGAAAGAAGGGCCCACCTGGCACTCCCCGCTGCCCGGCCAGGAGGTGAAGTCCAGGCGGGAGCGGCTGCAGGGACAGAGGGCGCGGGTCGCGGCAGGGTGCTGGGGGGCGACCTGCCTTTGCCCCGGCTCGGAAGCCT